TAGTAAAGACAAGGTGGGCCGCCAGGCCCTGTTCTCCTTGTCCATGGTATTTCAAAGCAAGTGCTGGCAGCCAGACCTGCATCTCTCCTGGGCTCCCTGGCCTTCTGCCAAGCACTTCCCTTTTATTTTTCCAACCCAAGTGCTTTTTTTGTTTTAAGAAAAAAATTTGGAGACATAATTTCACATTTACAGAAAAGTTTGCAAGAATAATGTTAAGAATTCCCTGATACCTTTCACCCCATTCTCATTTTACTGCGTCTGCTTTTATTCCCTTTGTCTTCCTCATTCTCTCTGTGTGAATGTTTTCAAACTCTTCCAGGTAGATACTCCTTTTTCTAAATACTTCAGTGTTTACTTCTTCCAAACAAGGTATTCTCTTATCAAATTATCAAAATCAGGAAGTGAATTCTCCAAATTCTCGAAAGAGAATCCAGGATCACACATTGCATTCAGTTGTCATGTTTCTTTTCATCTGGAACTGTTCTAGAGTCTGTCTTTAGAGTTCATGACTGATGTTTTGAAGAATACAGGCCACTTATTCTGTAGGATGTCCCCCAGTGTGGGTTTGTCCGATGATTCCTCATGACTGGTTCAGGTCACACAGTTGGCAGGAATGTCCCAGAAGTGATCTTGGTACATCGTATCTGGAGGCCCCTTGTGTCAGTTTGTCTCATTTCTGGTCTTGTCAGCCTCGATCACTTGGTTTCTGCCAGGTTCTGTACCATAAAGTTACTATTTTACCATTTGTGTTTAATGTGTTTCTTGTGGAGAGATATTCTGCGACTATGTCAATACCCTGTTACTCTTCCAACAGTCACTGCTTGTTTTAGCAGCCATTGCTGATTCTTGCCAAATAGTCTAATTCCATCATTCTGCATTCATTGGTTGGCTTTTTACTGTAAGGAACAGCTCTCTCTTTTCCCCATTTGTTTGTTTATATCACTGTGGGCTCTTGGATTCTTACCTGACTTAGTAGGTTATAATCCGTCACTCTCCTTATGTTGCTCGAGTGGTCCCAGATTTGTCCAGAGGGAGAGCCCTTGCTGGCTCCGTGTGTCCTTTTGTCACACCCCCACCATTCCCTGGGCTCGTTCTTACTTTTAGACACAGTGAAATGTTCCAGGCCTATCTCTCTGCCCAGCTCAGGGATTGACCACTTCTGTAAGGAGCCCTAGTTCTTTTTTATTACTATTTTATTATTATTTTTAAATTTGTTTTTATTGATTTCAGAGAGGAAGGGAGGGGGGAGAGAGAGAGAGAGAGAGAGAGAGAAACATCAGTGATGAGAATCATTGATCGGCTGCCTCCTGCATGCCTCCTCCTGGGGATTGAGCCAACAACCCAGGCATATGCCCTTGACCAGAATCGAACCTGGGACCCTTCAGTCCGCAGGCTGACTCTCTATCCACTGAGCCAAACCGGCTAGGGTGAGCCCTGGTTCTTTTGTGGACAACGTTGTTTTGAAACCAAGATCTGGGTGCTCAGTGTGCTCATTGCCAATGGCGTGTCTTTACATCTAGGCCCTCTTATTAGCCAGAGCTGGGAAATAGAGGTGTGAATAAATACCTACGTGCATACATTACCTTCTGTATATATATCTGTGTACATGTATCAAACACACACCACACACACCCACCCACACGACATCCACATCCATTTCTGCTTCTAGTTTTCTACATACACACTCTCCTGCCCATGAGTTCACACCAATGCCTCCAGTTCTAGTCCCACATGCAGGCTCCTTGCTGGCTCCCCTTTCCATTTTTGTAACTCCCTTCTCAGTCATTGCGAACCTGTCCTGTCACCTACAGTAAAATAAGCCTTCAGACCAGCAGTCAGTATTTGTTTTATCTTTATATCCAACACATCTAGTTCCAAAACTGTGTTTAAAAGTCACGCGGATTAGTTCTTTCTTTTCCCTCTCTACTATGGTTATATTATTTACTTGAAATACAGTTTGGTTTATTTGTTTCTGTTCGCATTTTGTGGTAGGATTTCCCCTCCAATTCTTGTTGATTTCATTTATGCATTCTCATTCATTCATTCATTCATTCAGTATGTGGGACATTAGCATGGTTCCAAGTCAAGACTACAGAGATATGTCATCATCCTCACCCCTCCCTAGTTTCACCTGGTGTCTGATTTATCCTTTTCCAGCTGCTCAAAAGAGCAGACATGTCTTTTCTTATACCCCCACCTTTCTCACATGAAAAGTGGGGTTGTGGGGGTATTTCTATGCTTTGCTCTTTTCACTGGAAACAGCTGCATCTGGCCGTGGAGATGTCCTTGCTGCCCTGCGCAGCTGCATGGTGTCCTCTGTGGGTCATAGCACAGTTAGTGTAGCCTCTCCCTTGCATGGGCATTTAGGTCATTTCCAGTATCTTGCAGGTGCAGGCGGTGCTGCAGTGAATTCCCTTGTATATAGATATTTTTGTATTGTTGGAAGAGTATTGTGATGGGTGGGTTTCTAGAAATGGGAATGCTAGGTCAAAAGATAAAAGCAAATGTATTTTGTTAGCTTCTGCCAAGTTTCATTCCAGAAGGTGCTATTGGTTTACTCCCACCAGCACCATGGGATGAGAGGGTCTGGTCCCACAGCCTATTCTATTCTATTTTAAAAATATTGGCCCATCTGAGAGGTGACAAATGGGATCTGTGTAGTTTTAATTAGCATTTCTGAAATTATGAGTGAGGCTGAGCATTGTTTAATATGTTAAAGGCTGTTTTTGTATCTGTTCTGTGAATTGTTAGTTCATGCTTTTCACCCATTTTTCAATTGGATTTTTGACCTTTCCCCCCCAAACCTTTAAAATTTCAATATATGTTAGGGAGATGAGCCCTTTGTGATCTGTATTGCAAATGTTTTCTGTCAGTTTTTCAGTTGCATTTTGACTTTTTTTTATGATGTCTTTTTTCCCCTCTACAGTTTTTAAATGTTGATATAGTCAGATTTATGATTTTTTTCATTTATTGCTCTGGATTTTGAGTACTAGTTAGAAAGCTGAGCTTGAAGAGGGATTTACCATGTTTTCTTCCAGTACCCACCCATATGGTTGCATTCTTTCCATGTAGATCCCTCATCCTTTCAGAGTTCATTGTTGCAAATGGTGGGAGGTATGGACCTGACTTTATATCTTCCCAAATGGCTACCTAGCCAGTTATCGCAAGTACCAGTGCTTCAAGATGCCATTGTTATCTCCCTCTCTCCATGATCTGTAGACCCCAGCCCCTGGAAGCGGTCACCCTCTAGAAAGACATGTGCATACATGTTCTTTTCAGCATGCTAAGTGTGTGCCGTGCGTATCACAGAACTTGGCAGATTGCTTCCAGATGTCTTACAGTTCACAAGATCCAGCTGGAACCTTCCCTGGTCCCAGTGCTCTCTTGGAGGTCTGTTTAGTGAGCCCCCACTCTGCTGCCAGGTGCAGCATGTCTGGAGCATAAAGGCCCAAGATCGGATGGTTAGGAGGGGTGGGCATTTTTTAGGGGGTTATTTTTAGGGAGTGGGCATTTTAAAAAAAGATGTTGCCAGGTTGTCCTTCATAGAGGCCTTTCGTGGACACTGGGAGCATGGATGGATGAGGGCATCTCACCCAGTGTGTCATCAGATTGGCTTTCTTTGCCTTTGTGAGCCTATTAAATGACAAAGCCCATAACAGCTGCTATATATATTGAGGGTTTACAATGTGCTAGGTTCTCCTTTAAGTGCATTCTGCCTGTTACCTTATTTAACCCTCCACAACTCCAGGAGCAGGGCATTAATATGGTGATCCCTTCTTTACAGATATAAAAACTGAGGCTCAGAGGTTAGGAACTTGTTCTAGATCACACAGCTGGGCTGGGACCGGGCATCTGGGGCCTTTGCTCATCTCCACGGCCCCACCATGATTTCTAGGGAGAAAGCTTGAGAGAACAGAGGACATACCTTGAGAAGTATAATCGTCAAAACTATTTATAAGGCTCTACATGTGCCCTGCCACCACTCTCTTTGGGGTTTTAGCCTCTATTCTTCCCCCTTGCTCCATTGCTGTTATGTTGAGTTTCTTCTCCTGTGTTTGTATATCTTGGGGGAAATGTCCATTCAAATTCTTTACGCATTTGTAAATTAGGTTATTTGTCTTTTTGTTGTTGAACTGTAAAAGTTCTTTATATATTTTCAATACAATTCCCTTATGAGATAGAAGATTTGCAAATATCTTCACCCATTCTGTGGGTTGTCTTCACTTTCTTGATTAAGTTCTTTGAAGATCAAAGTCCAATCTATTTTTTTCTTCTACTTGTGCTTTTGTTGTATGTCTAGAAACCATAGCCTAATCCAAGGTCACAAAGGTTCATTCATTTGTTTTCTTCTAAGAGTTTTATAATTTTAGCTCTTACATTTCGATCTCTGATCCATTTGAGTTAATTTTTTGCCTGCAGTGTGAGGTAGGAGTCCAGCTTCATTCTTTTGTATGTGGATGCCCAGCGCAACTATTGAAAGACTGTTCTTTCCCCCATTGAATGGTCTTGACAACCTCATTGAAAATTAACTGACTTTAAATGTGCAAGTTTATTTCTGGATTGTCAACTCTTCTTCCATTGAGTGCTGTGTCCATCTTTATGCCAGTACCACACTGTCTTGATTACTGTAGTTTTACCAACCTGAGTAATGTCTAGGCCGGGGGTGGACGTTAAAGAAAAATGATGTGATGTGGTCCTTAGAGTTCCATGTAAGGAGACTAGAGTCTTCTTAATTGGGATCCAGACAACCCGGGGTGCCCACCACTTCCCTAACTGAGCCTTCCCATCTTCTGCAAATCCTTCATTTTCATGGGCAAGGAGGATTTGGTGAGATATTTGAAAATAAGAGGCTCTATGCCCAGTAAGCAAAGGCGGATGAAAAATGTCAGTTTTTCAGTTCTTTCTAACAGGAAGGATCTGAAACTTGGGTTCAGCAGGTTGGGCCTTTAATGGGTCCTGAAACTGGATTGTAGTGTGGTGTCAGCTTGCTTTTTCTTATCAGTTTGGATTTTTTTACAGCCAGACTCTCCTCTTCCGGCTGAAACCTGCTGTGCAGTGAGCTTCAGAGGACAGAGGTAGAGGTTTTTTATTTTTATTTTTTGAATTTTTATTTTGAAATAATTTTAGACTTACTGAAATGTTACAAAGACAGTACATAGAGTTCCTGTGTACCTTTCAGCCCCTTCCTGAATGTTAGCTTTTAACCACAGAAGAATGGCACAAACTAAATAAGCAAAAAACATGGAGGAATAATATTTACCAAACCAGGGATTTTATTAGGACTTTACCAGTTGTCCCACTCATGTCCCTTTTCTGCCCCAGGACCCCATCCGGGATGCCTCGTCACATCTAGTCATCACGTCTCCTCAGACTTTTCTGGGCTGGGACCATTTCTCAGTCTTTCCTTTTCTGTCACAACCTTGACACTTTTGTAGAATGTCCCTCAGCTTTGTCCAGTGTTTCCCCATGATCAGATGGAGGTTATGTATTTGTACTTCTCCATGCAGCGTATCAGTGTCCCATCACTGGGGGTGTCAGTCTTGATCCCTTGGGTAAGGTGGTGCCATCCAGGAGTCTGCACTAGAAGGTTACTTTTTCCCTTTGGGATTTTGAGACAATGCAACGCCCTGTTTCTCTTCAAACTTCTGCCTGTGGATTTCAGACCAAGAACAATTAATTACATGCAACAGTATACTCTGGCCTTCTCATGGAGACATGTATCACCCTCCGCCCTTCTCCATTTATGAATAAGAGTTCTTTTGTAGAAGAGGGCTTCCCCCTTTCAAATTTTATACCAGTAAAGACCTTTGCATATTTATTTTATCTGCAGGTTATAATCCAGCACAATCACTATCATGTTGCCCGAGTGATCCTTGCTTTGGTCGTAGGGCGCCCCTTCTCCTTCCTGTTTGGCTCCCATGTCCTTCCTTCATGTCCTTCTCCTCTAGTGAGGGCTTCCTTCCTCCCTGCCCCCACGAGATGCTCAGGTTGACCACTTTTCCAAGGAGCCTATGTTCCCTGTGTTGGAGAATGGTATTAAAAAACTGTCGTCTGGCCACTCTCAGTGCTGGGAGTGTCATGGCTTCCCAGGCCTGTCAGTGGACAAAGCTTGGAGATGTGAATATCAACCTGTGATTCTGTGCCCCTCTGTATTTATATCTGTGTCCATCTCTCTGTAGATATATATTTTTAAAAAAACCCACGAGTTCATACTGATGGGACAATAGAGTGTTCAAGTTGTGGGTCGTTCTGAGGCTTTGGGTAGCTTCCCTGCACTGAGAGGCACAGAGATCCTCCAGGATTCAGCAGGCAGCGGGAGACACCTGCTCCTTTTGGGGGCCACTTGGGGCTTATGGGGTGGGAGGAGTAGGCAGATTTGGGAGCCGAGCCCGCCTAGGTCAGCCGAGTGTACAGGTGATGGCTCCCTTCTCTGGTCCATGGGATGCTCAGTCAGCTTTCTGCCTCTTGGACCTCAGGCCTAGCTCTAGGGCAGGAATGGGTAGTGTGGCATGGTGTAGATCCAGCCCCTGGACCCACCCCAAGGGTCAGCCTTGGGCAGTCGAGAGCTGGGGACCCAGATACCTCTTCCTAGGGTGTGTGGCCAAGCTGTGGAGTCCCAGCGACGCCACTAGTCAGTGGCAGTTCCTGGTGCCTCAGTGTTTAGGTATCGCTGGCTCTTTGTCTGGTTTCTGCTTTTTTTCCTTATCCCGCCCCACTGCCTGCCCTTTGCAGAGGGGGTGGAGAAATAAGCCACTGTGCCTGCTGCTTCCGTCAGCATCTGCGGGCTCGGGCGGGCACGTCAGAATAACGTCATCTAGTAGTCAGACCGCTCCTTTTTAAAGGAGAAATGGTCAGACTGCGCTTTTTTAGGGGCATTGGTGTTTGATGCCTTGGCTCTTACCTGCTGCAACCGGACTCCCTCTTGAGTTCTATTCTTAGCGCCCCAGATTTCCCAGGACCCACAGCGAGGTCAGCAGCTAGGCTGGGCCAGCCTGGGCAGCAGGAGGCATGAGACCCAGGCTGCTTGGGCCTTTTGGATTTGTTTTTCTTTTTAAAAATTACTTTGACTTTATTTTTTAAACAGTTTAGATTTATAGAGAAATTAAGCAGATAGAGTTCTCATAAACAACCTCCCCTTCATTTCCTTATTAATGAACATGTTATATTAGGCTGGTATATTTGTCAAAATTAATAAATATATTCTTATTAATTAAAGTCCATACTATATTCAGATTTCCTCAGTTTTCCCTAATGTCTTTTTTCTGTCCCAGGATACCATCCCACATGACATTTCGTTATCACATCTCTTTAGGCTCATCTCGGCTGTGACAGCTTTTTAGATTTTTCTTGTTTTTGGTGACTTTGGTAGTTTTGAGGAGGATTGGTGAAGGATTTTGTGGGAAGTTTCTAAATCAGGGTTTGTTTGGTGTTTTTCTCATGGTTAGACCAGGTGATGTGTTCTGCGAGGAAGACCCCAGAGGTGAAGGGCCCTTTTCATCCTATCATGTCTAGGGTCATATGTCACTTTGACTTATTACTGTTAATGTTGACCTTGATCCCCTGACTGAATTGTGATTGCCAGGTTTCTCCACTGTAAAGTCACTCCCCATTTGGGAAGTAAGTCACTCTGTGCAGTTCACACATAGGGGTCCTCTGATCCCTCCACCCTGGCTGCCTTGTGTCAAGCAAGTCTCTGGCTCATTCTGAGGCCAGGCCTCTGCATCCCAGAGCCTGCAGGGGAGCCTTCAGAGGAGCAGTGGACGTGGGTTAGCCTGGACCTTGGTTCCTTGTAGACATAGGTCAGGGTGGATAGAGGCCTCGCCTCAACCTGTGGTCTGAGAACTGGGCCTTGACCTCAGCCCTAGAGCTTCTAGCCTTCTGGCTTGGGGGTTGGTGCTTTTGGCCCCCAAAGTATGAGAGCAGAAGAACCCACAGTCTGGGTGGCCCAGCAGCCATGGGCAGCAGCAGATTGGGGTCTGTCCAGCTGAGAATCACAAGTGGCTTCTCTGCCCTTTAGACCATGTGTTGGTAGGGGCAGCCCATGTCCAGGAAGGGAGACAGCATGCTAAGAGACAGTTATAAGTGACGGGGAGACACCTGATCCCATTGAGACACGGATGAAGGATAGGGGCTGGCAGCTCATAGCAGCGGTCTGTGTGGTCAGTGACAATGAAAAGACCCCTCACCTACTCTGTGATCAGGAAAATACACATTGACGCTTGTAGCATTAGTCTCCTTTGCTGCCCCGATAGATGACCACAGACTTAGTGACTTAAACACACACATTTATTATCTCACAGTTTTGGAGGCTGGAAGTCTGACATGGTCTCACGGGGCCAAGATCAAGGTATGGTCAAGGCTGGTTCCTTCTGGAGGCTCTAGGGGAGCTCAGTTCTTTGTCATTTCTAGCTTCTGGAGCAAGCATGTCAAACACAAAGGCTAACACGGGCCAATATACAAGGTGTAAGTGTATGTGGGCTGCGAAAAAACAAAAGCTTCAATTTTCATAGAAGCGTAGGTTTATTTCGATAGAGACATGCTGAATACAAAGGGCTGAAATAAATGAGTCATCGTTAACATAAAATAATAGGACATTTAAATAAAATTTAATATTTTTTCTTGAATATTAACTTACCAGACACTGAATAACTGCACAAATTAATAAGCGTAACGCAAATAAACCTAGTTTTCTTGTTCTCTGAAAGTGAAATATTTCCTGTTGCGTGCACACCAAACAAATCAGTCCAAGACTAATGAAGTGGCAATCGGCTGCTAAAATATAAGCTGCTAGTATTAGTGGAGAGAAATGG